GAGATATTGATGTAAAGTAAATTGACAAAAACTTCGAAAAATGCCTTGCTAGAAACTACTGAGAACTCCAATTAAAAACAAGCTAACTTCTTGAAGGACGTGAAAACGCTTGTCTGCATAGATAGCAGTCTTATGATGCTCATTTGAAGTGTCAAGCGGCTTGAGTACAAACGGCTAAGACGCGAGGGGTTTGAGATGCTGCTTAAAAAAGCAGCTTCGCTGCTTTTATTTTCATCTAGCGCATTAAAAAAAAACTGGGCCGGAGCGGGATTTAATGAGAGAATATGAAAATAACAGTACTCACGCGTATTTAACGACCCTTAGCCTTAAACAGGCCATAATGGATATCATATTTGAATTTTAAAAAGAACATCCTTTTTTAATCAATTTCAGAGTACTTTTCGTTATCATTCCCATTTCTATAAGGACGGAAAGACCTATCAAGATGCTGCTGGCAAGAATGGCTTCGACTTACAAGAAACAAAGTTACCAAAGTACTGGAAAACACCCTTCTCGGATCTGCCTCGATATGATTATTGGACCATAAGTCAGTTTTATCTTCATCAACAAGACAGCCGACTCTTTGTATTCATTGATCGCTGACGGGAAATACCGCGCCACCTAGCTGGATCGTGACACTTGGAAGAAGGCGGCTGGTTCGCAAGCCTCCTTACAGCGAATTTGCAACAAGGAAGGGTCCGATATTGTGGGTGACAAGCGGGTTATTTTAAGTGCAAGAATTGGCATCATCGTTAACCATCAGAATGACTGCTTCACTCACAATTCCATCATCGGTTTTGGTACAGGAGGATATAATTCTTGCGGAAATGAAGCAACACTCGAGCCTGATAATGGAGACAAGCACACCAGAGCCACGGGGTACATCTTAGTGCAGTGGTCATGACAGGACGGAAAACGCGTGCACTGTAAGTACTTCACTCACAGTTCCATCATCGGTTTTGGTACAGGAGGATATAATTCTTGCGGAAATGAAGCAACACTCGAGCCTGATAATGGAGACAAGCACACCAGAGCCACGGGGTACATCTTAGTGCAGTGGTCAGTATGTTTCTCGGGAAGTCGGTCTCGAGAGGGTTCAGCGCCATGAAGAATTCGATCTTTATCTGTATTCTGTTAGTCCTGTGCCTCACGATGTCTGTACTTGTGTCTTCGCAAGGTTAGTTTATCTATTATCGATAACTGAGCGGGGTTAGTGATGTGGTAATTAGTCTCTCTCAATCGTAGTTGAGGTGTAGTCTCTCGAAAAAGTGGTTCAGACATTTCGGTTAAAATCATCGATTTCTTTCAACGAATTTCTCTTAGTCTCAAAGTAATGGAAACCATCTTGTTTTTTCGATTTATTGCAGTTTTTTTTCTTTCCAGAGCGAAAATCGCTCCGGCGCTCAAAGGCCCATTTCTAAAAGCGCCGATCATTAAAAATGGCATAAATTGTCGTGCTCGCATTTTTGCAAAGCTCGTGTTGAGGAATTTGTTTGGTTGGCATATTTAGTTGGATCCTATTTGAGAACAAGTTACATAAGTTTTCCAATTTTAACGGTTTTTTACATTGAAAATTATTTTTTTCAGCTTGACACTTATTTTGTCTTTACCGCGGCCATGATCGTAAATATACAACTTTTAATCTAGGCTGAACACAAAATTCCAACTCCTTTCTCATAATATATTAATTCAGGTTAACAAAAGTAATATCTTTATTCAGGTTAACAAAAGTAATATATTTATTCAGGTTAACAAAAGTAATATATTTATTCAGGTTAACAAAAGTAATATATTTATTCAGGCTAACAAAAGTAAGGTAGACGAGTATGGAAATATAAAGATATGTTGTTGTTTTGACGAAGTTCTAGCACAGCCGGCCAACATATTCTGCAAAATTTCGAAATTCCACCCAATAATGCACAAAAAATAGACTCAATTATGTACGAAATTCACGTCTACAACCTAGGTTTGACGCCTGAATTAAATACTTTGAAGCTTTATTATGCTTGAAGATGCCATGAGAGAGAGAAAATCTCCTTTCCTATCAAGGAAAAAATACCGCCGCCGAAGGTGGTTCTTCGCTCTATAAGCGACCTCTTGTTTTATTTATTACTCAGTTAAAAAGAAAAAAAGAGGGAATTCAATAGTCTGGAGAGATTTGAAATAGCCAAGTTAATCCAAAGTATATCTTAGTGTCAATGAGTAAAATAAATAATGGTATTTAAATTGGAAAAAAGCTGCAATCTTACGAGGTAGTGCGCGACAAGAATAATTTATTCAAAGGACCCCCTCAGCTGAGTTTATAACCGATGAAATCGCTAGTAAATAGTATAGTTACGAAAATGCCCAAAATAAATCAGGTGGAGTGTTATTTTTGTCATGTAGGTAGAGGAGTTTGGAAATATAAAGGTATGTTGTGGTTTCGATGAACTTCTAGCATAGCCGGCCAACATATTTTGCACATTTTCGAAAATTCCAACCAATAATGCACTTAAAGCAGAACCAATTATATGCGAAGTTTACGTCTTAAAATTGTGGTTGACACTTTAATTTAGCACAATGAAGCTTTTTCTGCTTGACGATGCCATAAATAACAGAAAAATTCTCCATCCTCATCTAGAATAATAGTGCTGCCGAAAGTTTACACTTAGCTCTGTAAGCGACCTGTTGTTTGTTTATCACTCAGTCAACGAGAACTTTTAGAATGAGACAAAAAAAAACTTTCAAATAAATCTTTTTTTTTTGGAGCCGAAATACACCAGACCGCTTCTAAAGGGACAGCGTCTTAATGTTTGATGCTAGCAGATAGTTAAAGAGGTTTCTTTTGTTTTTCACAATAGTATTGGTTTGATCGTGGCTTCGTACATCCTTAGATTTACTAAACTGCGAAACCGATTAAACTTTGTAAGGTTCACTTGATAAAGATTGCAGATGGTTTTCATTGTTTTAGTCTGTTTGTCTCTGGAAATCAGCGCTTGCATCACCTAAGTCTGCAACTAGTGGCAATAGATACCATCGACTACAAGACAAACAAAGAGGTTTAAAGGAAGCAAAGGAAGTAAACCGGCCAAAAAATTTGTATAAAATATTATCACCTTTAAAATTTTAAAATATTCGGATCTATCGAAAGCTGTTGGTTGAAAAAATATCCTGGTAGGATCTAACTAGCTTCCTTTTACCTATTTCGGTTTTTATTTTAATAGCTCTTTTTTTTTTCTTGGCAAAATAAGTACCTATTTTGACCTATTAAATCGCAGACAATTGTCCATGGCTAATGGAAGTACACCATGCACTCTAATTATTTGTCTCTGAGTAGGTGTCATCGAACATCTATTCCTAAATGTAAGTATTTTTATTAGTAAACTATTTAGAAAAAAAACATACAAACAAACAAACAAACAAACAAAACAAAACAAAACGAAAAGTGCGCGTTCTCTCAACCGACAGGAGCAGCCAGTTTAGACCCCGACTACATAACAATTACCTCGTTGCAGACATCTAGGGAAAGTCTGCTCTCGTTCGAAAAGTTTCGTTATCTCGATGTACCTAAGCTTGACGAAATTATGGTATATGATGACTTTGAATGAAGTTTAATGGGGAGATAAAAAAGGAGAAGGAGAATGAGAAAAATTAGCATATACCAATTGTACCACTGTGAGAAGATAAGAAATTTCAAAATGAATTTAAGTCGCCTCGTAATTTTCTCATCGTGAAATTGATTTTTAAAAAGTTGTTTATTAATGTTTGATTATTTAAGGCCACCTCATATCACAACGTCGAGATAATTCATCATAGCCCACCTGATGAATGTATTATTAGGCCTTTATGTAAAATTAAAGTCAATGTATACAAAGACAAATTGATAGTGCAGTGCATAAATTCACTTCCAGCACTTCCAATTTTAGCTTATAACTTTGATGATCTTGATCGTGACCAACCAATAAGGGCGGAGTAATTTCGGCTTTTTTCTGCAAATTTAAGTCAAGTTTAACAGCAGAAGCATTTCTGTTCTCCGTCGAGTTTCCTGCTAGGAATTAGTGGAAGTCGATCGATTTTCAAACCGCTTTTATGTCAATTCGATTAATAATTAATTGACTCGTCAAGAAGCTTAAGACAAATATAAATAAAAAAATTAACATTTTTGACTTGTTTAAAGAGAGTTTTGTTTTTGGTCTCCACAGGAGTAAACTGTTCAAAGATAGTTAACACCTCTTTAAACTTCTTTAAACTGCTTGATCAAATAAATTATAGGTGAATAGAAAGATAGTTGGGCAGATGGTTTTATGAGTAAATTTACGAGAATTTCATATTCGAAATTGCGAATGGTTTTCGTTTTCTCTCTTTCTCTCTCTTTCTCTGTCTCAAGTTTTGGTCATTTTATTTTTCAACAAGCTCTGTTACATATCTGAACATCGGGAAGATCAAAATTTTGCCATGTTGTTTTCAAATGTATTGATTTTGCACGAAATTACTCGTATCATCACCACGTAGTACTCAGCTAAGCGCAGTCCCGCAATTATTGTATATGAAGCAAACAATAGAGCGTCAACAGGACATAGCGATTCAATAAAATGGAACAGAAAAACTTGATATGTAACTGGTGTTTATGAAACTGGTCGCAGCGCGTAGAAAGAGCGGGACAGTTACATTTTACATGCTTAGATGCGCGCAGCGCAAATCTAGTTGCCTCAAGATGCAGTCATTTCATCTAGGGCACAAAGTTGATAGAAATGGGAACAAGAACCGGCCGGGAGAAACACATGCTTATCTGGTAATGGAGTTTTTTCAGACAAAGGAATTACAGAAAAGATTGCGAAACTGTACTATGTTCTTGATTGACGCACAAGGCTTGTAACCAATCATAGGGCTCTATGATTGATTACCAGATATAGTGACCCTCTTAACTACCAGCAATACTCAGATTTCATTGGTTAAAAGGTAGTCAGGAAGTTAAAAAAAATAATTGATAGATAATTTAGGCATCAATTTGTATGTCTTTCGGGAAGTCGGTCTCCAGAGGGTTCCGCGCCATGAAGAATTTGATCTTTGTCTGTGTTCTTTTAGTTTTGTGCCTCATGATGTCTGCACTTGTGTCGTCGCGAGGTTAGTTTCACCATTACTCATTTCTGAGCGGAGGTTAGTGAGGGGGAAATTAGTCCCTCTCAATCAATTGCAGTCTTTCTAGGAAGCGGTCTAGTAAATTTCGGTTAAGAAATCGATTTCTTTCACATTTGCCCATGAATCTGCCTTAGTCTTAAAGTCGTCGAAACCGCCTTGTTTTTTCGAATTATTGCAAAATATTTGTTTTTTATTTTCCGAGCGCCGATATCTTTTTCTTTTAACAGCGTCGATCATCAAAAATGGCATAAGTTTGCCGTTGTCGTATTTTTGCACAGCTCTTGTTTGGGGAATTTTTGTGAAGTGTTCCTAATAATGGTATTTAGAGTGTAGTCATTTTAACTTTGAGAAACCTGCAATCTTATGGGGTAGCGCGCGACAAGAATTAATTTGTTCGAAGGACCCATCTGCTGTGTTTATAACCCATGAAATCGCCTTTAAAATACTATAGTTACAAAAATGCCCTAAATAAATCAGTTGGAGTGTTATTTTATTAGTAGGTGGAGAAATATGGGAAGATAAAAATATGTTGTGGCTTTGGCGAACTTCTAGCCCAGCCGGTTGATATGTTTTGGACATTTTCGAAAATTCCACCTGACAGTGCACAGAAAGCAGACCCAATAACATAAGAGATTTACGTCTTACAACGATGGTTGACGCTTGAATTTAGCACATTGAAGCTTTTTTTTTGATGATGCCTTAAAACAGCATTTAGGAGAGAAAAATATCCATCCTTATCTAGAAAAATAGTGTTGCCGAAAGTTGTCTGATAGCTCTTTTAGCGACCTATTGTTTGTCTGTCACTCAGCTAACGAGTATTTTTAGATCAAGACAGATTCATGAAAAAACTTTGAAAGAAATCGATTTTTTTTTAAACAAAATACCCCGGAGCGCTTTTAGAAAGACTGGATCTTAATGTTTGACGCCAGTTGGTTGTTAAAGAGGTTTGTTTTGTTTTTCGTTTTCACAATAGTATTAGTTAAATCGTAGCTATGCACTCTCTTTAACTTATTAAAACTGCGTAACCGATTGATTGAGTCATTTAATGTAGATTGCAAATGGTTTTCGTTGCTTTCGTATGTAAATTTTACTTTACTAAACTGGTTCATCGTCATCCAGTTTTTTTTTGTTTGGTATTGCACTCCCAGGTATGAAAATAAAATATGGCCGTGTGAATGCAGTCTTCATCCTTGAATTATGCCCTACCTATTCTTTGAGTCTCCTGCAATGGTTATCGCCCATTTGTTGTGAACTTTTTCTCTAACAAATCGTCAATGACGTCCACAGTCCACAAGAAAAACAGAATGTTTGGAAACTTAGCAATTCATTGCACTTCACTAAATTTAGAACTCACGGCCTGGCTGGGCAAAAGCAGCACTTCTAATTTTCTTCAACTTGAATGTATACTAGCGAGTTTGAGATCGTAAATGTCCTATTTGAAGACAGTTTTGTGCGTTTATCTCTGGTAATCAACACTTGCATCACCCAAGTCATCCACTGGTGGCAATAGATATAGTCGCCCGTAGGACAAAAAAAGAGGTTTAAGAAAAAAGAAAAAGGAAGTGTACTAGAAAATAGTTATGAAAATTAGTGTCAAAAATTATCACTTACGGTAAGTTTAAATAATTCGAAGTTTATTCATAAAAAGTTCATAAACAGATCTGTCGACAAAGACAAATGGTAAGCGTTCTCTCCACCGACAGGAGCAGCAAGTTTAGACCCCGACAACATACTACCTACTTCATCACAGATATCCAGGCAAAGTCTGCTCTCGGTGGACAAGTTTCGCTATCTCGATGTACCTGAGCTTGACGAAATTATGGTATACGACGACTTTGAATGCACATTTAGATGCCTTCACCATCCTCTGTGTGTTTCCGTGAACTTGGCTGCTGAAGGTGATTTGTGGTGTGAGTTACTGTCGTCTGATAAGTACAGCAACCCCAATGAATACAAAGAAAAAAAGAGTTCGCATCACTATTTCTTTGAGGTAAGGACGATTTACACCTTGGTTGCATCACTTGAGTTGTACTGTTTCAAGAAAGATCTTGAGAAGCAGAAGGAAAATGCAGTTGTAAAAAGAAAAATGTTACTCAGGGCACGAAGCAGACTAAAAGATTCGAGGAAGGACAAAACCTATTTTTTATAATTCAGCTGAGGAGTTAGTTCATTCAAAAATGCTATGATATCAGAGCAATTACACTCACGATCACGAGCATGAAATCATCGCTTTAATTATTATAAATACATTTGTCATTGCTATTCATCTATGTGCTTATTGGTAAAGGATCGATTGTGAAATGTTTGCCAATTTCGAAAAAAGAGAATTTGAGTCGGAGAAAATTGGTCTCCATGGTGTGTGTTCATATTTTGACGTAAGAGGCCCACATGTAATCAACGTCAGGTGGACTCTTGCCCAGCTACGATAAGTTAATACTAGGTGCAGCGTAGGTTTCTTTAATTTGTTTAAGGCTGAAATAAAAGCACAATTTTTAACTATAAATGTCCAGACTTTCAAATTTAAATATTTTTGGTGCTCTGTCGCCAAAAGGTACTTAGCCTACTTGCAGAAAACAAAACAGGAGTATACTAGTTGCATATCATAACAAAATGATTCTTGTTTCCCCCTAAGTTTTGATTTTAATTAAGAGCCTATGTATTTGGAATGAGAGGCTTTTTACAAGTCTTATCACAATGTTGCATCTCCAGAAGGAGCGAGACTTATAGGACAGGGGTATGGGTTTTACTAAAACGTTAAGGGAATTTTTTTTATTTTTGCATCAGAGTGCTTGTGCAAAAAAACCCTGCAAGAACAACTCCACTTGTCTAAACGGTTTTACTGACAAAAGAGATAGGTGTTTATGTTCCGCTGGATTCAAGGGTCGGACTTGCGATGAAGGTAAATAAGTCTGCATGTTATAAGTTTTATGGAGAAGATGTCAGTATTTCCGTCTGTGACTAAAAAATCATTGTATGAGCTCCATGCATGGAGCTTAGGAGGAGTGAAACAAAGAAATTATTAATAAACTGGCATAAGTCTAAGGGTTACATTATCTCTTGAAAAAAAAAAAAAAAAAAGAACCAACAAAACAATTTTGGGTGGTCTTGTATATCCGGAAAATGGGAGGGCTCATAGAGATGAACCGAAAGAAGACAAACCAGCAGTGCGGATGCAGCTCGCAAGAATTCTATGCATTATTTGAGTGAAATTGGAACCAAGTACTTAACTTTAATATACTCTACATCAATGAGGTTGAATGTTGCAGACATAAACGAGTGTATCGAGGGAACATCCGATTGCAGTGCTGATGCTGTGTGCAACAATATTAAGGGTTCCTACAACTGTACGTGTAAACCAGGATATTCTGGAGATGGACGGACTTGCGAAGGTAAAAGTTACCAAAGTTGTTATTCTAATTGACGAACAAGGGAATGAAAACTAAAGAAGCAAACTTCAACCCTAAAAACCTTCAAATTAGTCATAGGGTTTAATACAGTGGTAGAGTTAGTGAAATTGTAGTGTTTTTCTGTCGGCTAGATTATACCGTAATATAAAAAAAAAGTTATTGGTCGCCAATTAGAGAGAAATAACAGATTAGAATCATCCTGAAGTACGAAAGTTATCAACTCCATTTGTTGGTGTTAAAAAAATGGGGAGGGATTTCCTGTTGAATCGGTTACCTTACATTTTACAGAAGTAAATTAAAAGTGTATTATAATCGCGCTCAATAATCAGTTCCTTAATAGATTGATGGTACTTCTGCATGTTCGAGAGAACTGCGACAAAATTGCAAGGCTCTCGGGACATCGGATCAAACGTGGGTCTCCACTTGTTGTTTCCAACAAATCATCATTAGTTTAAAAATTAATTGCAGTGACGACGTTCTAATTAAATGAGAGTCTTTTCAGATATCGATGAGTGTGCAATAGGAAGACAGAACTGCAGTGCTGATGCTGTGTGTAACAATACTAAGGGATCGTACAACTGTACATGCAAAGAAGGATACTATGGAGATGGAAATATCTGCCGTTCGGGTAACATTTTACCTGCTGTATTTCTTAAGCTGGGTAAATTCGCGGCTTCGCTGCTTTATTCTTATCTAGCGCATTAGACACCGCTAACAATGCAAGTTACGAAAACACGAGTGACCAAGAACGTTGTGTATTTCCTATTCCACGCGTAAATTTTCTCTTTGAGAGCATTTCAAAACTCCATCCCATCTTTTTTTCTTAAAGGGTTTATTACTGTTGATATGCCTTTTCTTTTTTTCAGCTTCGACGTGTAAGGAAATTTTCGACCGGAATGTGTAAGTCAATTATTCACTAAGAACAAAACCGGCGCGGAATTTAATGAGAGAATATGAAGATAACAGTAGTTCTAATAATGATACTGCGCTAAGCATAGCAACCTTGATAATAAACTTGCACACTAGCTTCCATCTTGAAAACTTTCGCCTCATCGAAAATTACTTTGTGTCATTTACTAAATATATGGAAGCCATAGCCCTCATCAAGTTTCAACTGAATCTCTCTATTTAGGAAGATTCTTTATTTAGTAGATCGAAAAATAGTGGCGAGGTTACCCTGCACTTAGACTCAAAGCCAATGTCTGTTTTCTCTCAAATGGGAGACTTTGGATGCGGAGATGAAGGATGGACGCCGATCATGAAGACTAATCGCAATAAGGTAGCAATTTATCTGCGAAGAAATTCACTGTTGATACAGGACAGTGGAGATAAACGACAAAGGGGATTAGCAAAATCTGCGGCTGTTTCCCTGAAAACGTCAACGGTCGTCAAGAGTCGCTGACCTTTCAGTTTTGAGTTCCTTCTGTATCCGCTCCCCTATGACAGTATACATAATGGCGTCATCCTTCAGTTGCGTTGGGGCCACTAAATTCTTCGCAAGCTGGTAAGTTTCTACTGAAAGATTTGCTAAAAGTACGGCCTTCTTCGTTTTGGCCCCCGTGATTCCATTTGCGAGAAAATAAAAACCCAACTGTTGGGTGTATAACTCCCAGTCCGTTCCCACAACCTACTTTGTCACTTTTCCGATGGCTTGACTCGTGTTGACGTTCGACGCTTCGTTCGGCATTTCCTGTCGTGCCTTCGTCAACTTCAGACGTGATTCGTGTTTACCGCTTGTGCTTGGCCAAAAAAAGATCCCATCCTCGTCGCCAGCTTTGATGTATTAGTCCAAGGTCCAGAAAACAAGACAATATTAGTGAGACAAGATCTGCCAAAAACTTCAACCACATGGTCAAATCCAAATATGGAAAACTGGTCGCGTGACATTGGGTATAAGGAAAAATCCAAACGGAAGGATTTAACAGTTCTAGTATCGATGGACTTTTCTAGCTTGTAAACAAATATACCTCAAGAAGAAGGAACGAACATAGTGTGTGAAGCATACGAAAGTTCCAAAACCATAACGCACCGATCCCAACGCACTACCTCAGGGAAATGTTTGGCTTAATACTTAGAGAAATATTCGTTTTAATTCAATTAGGAGAACTTCCTCCAAACACATGGAACCGCTGTGGGTACGAAAATGGCAGTGTCATTTGCTAATATTTTCATGGCGTTAACTGAAGCGAAATTAATCCAACAAAGCGAAACTAAGCATAGAGAATGGAAATGTTGTATAGATGACGTTTTGTTTTCTCTTTCTCTCGCTGACCGAGACTTTTTTTTAATTTGCACACCTTGCCTCGTGCTACCGACCAGACGTAAAATATGGTATCAAGAAAGGCGAGTCAATAACATGGCCTGGAACTAACTCTTCGAAAGAAACATTTGAGGAGGACCTTTTGAAATTTAAACAAGGCCTCAAAGCGAGAGGGTACCCAGAAAACATCATGGAATGGTCTCTGTCAGGGGTCAGCTTTGCCTCTAGACAATCGTTTCTTGCACATACACAAAAGCTAAAAGGTCACCAACGTTTATTGTGGAGGGGGACAGGGGGCGGAAGAGGGCAGGAGGCGGGAGAACAGGGGGCGGGAAGCGGGAGCAGAAATAAAGAAGGCGGTAGTTTGTTGTTTATTACTGGGTATTATTTAGTCAAAAACACTCATCTATTAAAGTTTTGAAATTTCCATTTAATATCCACCAAAGGCCAGAAAATGAACAAGAATGTTATGTTTTGGCACAGTTTGAAAATTAAACCCGGGTTTTTGATCCTCTTGATTAACCTGAAGACGGGAGCAACACAATGAAGGGTGAGAGTCGGGAGATAAAGGGGCATAAAAGTACGGGAGGTGGGAGAACATTGTAGGGGGAAGCAGGAGACTCTGACCCCCCTGTTTCCCCCCCCCCCCTCCTCCACTTAATTGTCTTTTGTCACAACGTACCACCAGGCAGTTAAAAACTTACAAATACTACAAATACTGATGGAGCATTGGAGTCTAATACGCAATCAGCTCTTGCTGAAAACAGGTTTTCAAAACATCCAATCATCTCTTAAAAAAAGGGAGCATCCCTTAAGGACACGCTTGTGAAAGTAAAAACATAATTTGAAGGCGATTATGCGACGCGACTACAAAAGCCACATGGGGAGTCCGTGCCGGTCTCTCTATCCCTTATCAGATTTCAAGAAAGTAAGCAAGATTTGATTGATTCATCTTTGCTTAACAAGCGGGAGACTGGTTCAAGTTAAAATCGATGACAAGTCGATTCTAGCACTAACGATTGAGTTTTATCACTAGCGATTGATATTTTAGCACGAACAATTGAGTTTATCACTAGAGATTGATATTTTAGCACTAACAATTGAGTTTGTTACTAGTGATGGATATTTTGGCACAAATGGCTACCCATAGGTTGATTCAATTGTTTTTAATTCCTCTTTTTTTTAAGATCGCAACGAAGCCAAGTATACCCGCTGATGTTTGGTTCACAAACGATTCCTGTTTTCTGTCACATGGGAAATTTTGGATGTGGGGATGGAGGATGGACGCTGGCCATGAAGATTGCCGGCACGCAGGTTAACTCCCTGTCTCCTTTGCGAAACTCTTGATATTATTGAAATGAACATAGGCAAATCAAAAATGCAATTCTTGTCTTTCAGAGAACTTTCCATTACGATTCCCAATTCTGGAGCAACAGAGATGCTTATAACTTTGCTGGAGGCAAGACTGGCTTTGATTCCCAAGAGACTAAGTTACCAACCTACTGGAACACATCCTTCTCCAAGATCTGCCTTGGTATGAAGATTAATCATCAGCTCAGGTTCATTGTCATCAACAGGCACGCCAACTCACTGTTCTCACTGATCGCTGATGGGAAATACCGTGCCACCTCACTGGGTCGTAACACGTGGAAGTCGCTGATTGGTTCACAGGCCTCCTTGCAGCTCAACTGCAATAAGGAAGGATTCAATGCGGTGGGAGACAGCCCTAGTCATTCCAAAGCAAGAATCGGCATCACGGCTAACGACCAGAATGACTGTGGTTCCTGTGACTCTCGCATCGGTTTTGGCACAGGAGGTCGACTTGATGATTCCAACACGTGCGGAAATCAGGCAAGGTGGAATTCAGATAATGGAACCAAGCACATCAAAGCCATGGGGTACATCCTAGTACAGTGACAGGGGAAAGAGTTAACTTCCCAAATTTTAAGCCGAGAAGCCATCATGAAGTAGAAAATGTAGTATCCTAAAGCTTACCAACTAATAAAACGGGTTCAAAATTATCTTCTCCTCTGGTGCGATTTGTCTAAAATATAACTTTTTTAAGTCTAGCCTAAGACGTTTCAATTTGTACGAAGCCAATTCGAAGTAGAAATCGGCAATGAAGACATACTCGATGTTTTTAATACGTCGTTGTCGCGGACTTAACGTGAAAGGAGGTCATGATCTGATCAGGCACTGAAGGGCGTACACGAAAATAGTGGCTTTTTAAAATTTTTTCTTTATTTATTTAGTTATTTTCTGCGCGAGCGATTCGCCGTTTGCACACGCCTCATGCATTTGTCCGCCCGAGCGAAACACGCGAGAAATTACGCCTGTTATGCAGAGTAACCCGGAGCTCAAGGGCATGAACGACCTATATGGAAAACAATTGGCTCAGAAACGAGAACTAACAGAGCGCAGAAAGTAGTTTCTCTCGAAGTATTGCCTACTTTTTTGGCTATCAACAGAACGGCCAAATTTTTCTGTACCATTTGTTCGAGACGTCTGTCTCCACGCGAATACGAATGTACATATTGACAAGATGATCATTACCTCTTCATTCCAACGGACTTCTTTTCGGAATATTTCCTATAGCCAAAACCTCTCTCATCACAATTTCAGATGTCCCCCTTTCAATTTGAAAACTTGCCTAAATGGATCAGTGCGATTTCCTAATATAATCTTAGAGAGACGAATTCTATCGCTATTTCTTGTAGAACAAAGGATAGTTTTGGAACCAGTCATTTATGTGGGGAATCGCACGTTTCGGAGAGGAGATCAGTCGTCACTTGGAGACCATATAGTTGGGACTATAGAAAAACTGACTGCCAAGTAACTGCCAATAAAGAGGGGAGTGGGGAAGTCAATAAGAATATTACAACCAAAACGCGTGCGTTTACTACTGATAAGAAAGAAACGGAAATAGAAAATTGCAAATTTCAACGTAAAACCAGATTGATAAGAGTTCTCCATCGGTGTGCGCATCCTCCACAGGCCACCAAATTTGGCCATTTCGTGATCTTGTTTCAGAAGGATCGTAAGGTTACTTATTATTAAAGTATATTCAGCTGTTACATTAGTCTTTCTTTTCCTTTTTCAGGGGGAACTTCAGTTTATACGCTGATATTTTGTATAATGTTTTTTTATAATGTCAAATTTTGCAACAGTGAGTGTGCATAGTTGAAGACCTAAATCAGTATTTACCATTTCCATTACTGCCTCAAGTAAAATACGTCACCAACATATGATCATCGCCTTTCAGCTTTAGGCTGAAAATAAACGAAGGGGTTATTTTATAGAAAATCCTTAAGGAACTATGATCAGTAGGTTCAGAGGGTCTAACTGATCTAAGTTACTTGAGGATTATTCAAGATAGGAAAACAGGGGCTTTCATTTCAGCTCAGTTAAGCAAAACTAAACGGCCTTTTCTTTCAATTATCTTAGACACTGTTATAACAAGAGCAGCTGGAAAAAAAACGGGGGAAACTCGATGCCGAGAGTTTCAAACTCACGAAACCCGAACAGCCTATGCTACCTACCCTTATTGTACATCGTTTCGAATTGTTCCTTTTAATTTGGTTATCATCTGCCTGTCTAATTAGCCACCAATCACTTTCTTCTCAGCTGAACCTCTCTAAGCGACAGCCTTCCACTTTGACACAAGTAGCTTCTACCAATTGGGGGAAAGACTGGGTTTGACTCATGATAGAATAAATTGCCAACTTACTGAAATAGATCGGTATCTAGCATCTGTCTCTATATGAAGATCGACAGCTCAGGTTTATTGTATCCTTGGAAGCCTGCTTTCGCGGTGACTGATCAATGATGGGTAAAGCACGAAACACACGTTTGTGAAATGTCTCCACTGATCGACCATGAAATGCCGTTAAATCCTACGCAATTGTCGATTATGATGTAGAATTTTCTCTCAGTACGTTACGTAAAGCGTTACGTATTCTATCGCTCTGTGGGGATCCCCGAAATCACTTCAGCTCCTTGAGGATATTCACATTAGGGCAGTGAGATTTATTTTTAATTCGAAGCAATCCACTCTCGACACTGGTGTCATGACAGCGACGAAATAGAAATTAATAGCGTTCTCGTACAAGAACAGAATGGCATGCATAACTTACCAAGCCTTTTAAAAGGTGCTTCAGGTGGTATTAATTCTCTCTTCACTCTGAAATACTCCTTGTTAAGATATTATAGAGACAA